TACTCGACAGCTCCGTTATTCTCTTTCTGGAACTTGCATTCGTGGGTAAACTGCAAGTATGAAGAATCAGTGGTTGCCTTTACGTCTTTCAAGCTCAAGTTAAGACAGTTTCTAAACAAATGAGCTCTTTCCCTTCAGTACTTATGCAATTTTTTTCTCATGTTTATAACTTTTGTTTCTTCGTATTATAAACTCGTGTCCATGTGTGACCATAATTCTAAACTCATCCACATTAAATTCACATTGCACCCGATCCAACTCGTGTCATTCTGTCCAGATGACGAAGAAGCAGAGTTTATTTACACCGAGGCTAATTTCCGAGAACAGAGCTTCAAAAATCATCTTCGATTTCTTTCTGTCACACGATCGTTACCGTAGAAATTAAACAAGCGTATTACAACACGTATGCATAATACTGAAGTAAGTGATCCTTATAAACTGCTGAAAGCAACCCTTATGAAGAAAAATGATCTCAGGCGATGAAAATGTGAAGGAATACTTAAGTTCAATGCAGGTAACAATTTCGTCTCAATAAAAGACTGCTGAGAGCTACTGAAACGCCATTTCATCATATATATATATATATATATATATATATATATATATATATATATATATATATCTGTTGCATCTAAGTAGAAACGTAGGGTATGGTTAACTTTAATGCTGACCATCAAAAATGACACCTAGTAATGCACTGCAGACGGATAGTGAAAACAGTAATTTTTTTATCAAGACTTTGGCAAGTCAGTGCTTGACAAACGTCAGGTCACTTAGAAACACGCGCATCGTAAAGAATACGTTGGATGCTTACGCTATGCGACAATGAAACTAAGAGCATATTGCAGAAAAAGTGTATAGCTGACACGAAATAGGTACCAATCGGAAAGGTACTTCTTGGTTGGTTCATTGTCAGAGTTCCTTGTTGCTTATTTTTTCTGGCCTTCTGATCTCATCTTCAGTATCCAGTGAGCGTAGGTGGCAACTACTGATGAATGTCAGTTGTTGGAAATGCTTTTCGTAAAGCGTCAAGTCTCTGAACCATGAAGAAGCACTGACTTGACTGTATTAGTGTTGAAAATCAGGATCTTGTTCTTTATGCTGAATGCAGTAAAGCAGATCTCCACACTGATTATTTCAGATTAATGAGGAAAGGCCTGTCTTGCTATCTTTCCAATCCTGGCTGGTTTTGACGTCCTCGTCTGTGCTGTTGCCTGTAGTTGAAACAGTGCTGCCTAGATAGGCGAAAGGCGCTACTTCCTTTAGGTTTCTCCCGTTGATGGTGATTGGAGTTTGTTGTTGTTGGTGGTGGCGTTGGTTGGGTATCTTCATCACCTCTGTCTTCTCTATATTCACTTGAAGTCCTGTCTTCCTTCGCCACCCTACCTCTTCTGTCAACTTGTTAGTTTTCGCCTGTAGATCTCCGAGTTTGTGTGACATTAGACATGTCATCGGTGAAATCCAAATCTTCTAGGATCTTTTACCCGGTCCAGCATATGCTCATCTTTTCGCTCCTCACTGTTTGCTGCATGATCTAGTCCACCACAATCAGGAAGACCATGGGTGATAGTAGACATACATATGTAAAATACAGTTCTGAGGGATAACAGGTACTAGTCGCATTCAGTACAAGTGTTTCATCACACTATAATTGTCCGTGTATTTCTTACTATTCACTCAGTTACATCAGAAAAGAAGAATAAAAAAATAAACACTAACATGATAAATAATAACAACTGAAGAATTCACTCACCTTATTTATTATTATCACCGAAAAGTATTTACAACTTGATAACACATACACCACCTCGCCTGGTTAACTAGTTCACTAGTTACTAGCAGGTCCTAAGCCCGGGGAAACAGGGAAGGTTGGGCATAGGGCTAGCAACCCTACCCCGTAAAACAAATCTAACCACTAAACAAACTTCAAAGCACAAACAAAATATAAAAAATAATAACAAAATTATTCCTCGCTGGAATCGGAGAGGCGAAATGATGCCGATTGGTGAAAGCCTTCGGGAAGCCAATTGGCCGATCTGTCTTCTCTCCCTAGATGAAAGCGAAAGTAAAGGTAGGGACATGGAATGTCCGCACCATGTTTGAACCCAGCAAGGCAGTCCAGATTGCAAACGAGATGGAGAGGTGTCACACTGAAGTGCTTGGAATTTGCAAAAGCAGATGGAATGGGAGTGGACCCTCCAAACTGTCAACTGGAGAGCAGTGTCAATAATCTACTCCAATATTGTCACACAGACGACAACCACAAGCACACTGAGTTTTGGAGTGGCCATCATGATGTCCCATTGAAGAGCATCGAAGGCTCTCATGCAGTGGGAACCAATCTCCTCCTGTGAGATCATGATAGCAAGGTTCAACTCAAAAGGAAGAAAGGTCACAATCATACATTGCTACGCTATGCACCTACAAATAATGCAGAACAAGAGAAAAAGGAGAAATTCTACAGACAACTTTAATCAACACTGGACAAGACCACACTGCAGTTGGCGATACCAAAATTCTAATGAGCGGAGTGACATGAATGCCAAGCTGGGAGCGGACAACAAAAGAAGAGAACTAACCATGGGTAGAGAAGCGCTAGGTGAGGTGATGAAAGAGAATAGAGAATTGTTTGCAGAATTCTGTGTATTACACGATTTGGTGATTGGAGGTGAGGCAGTATGTTCAAGCACAAGGATATCCACAAAGCGACATGGATTTGATTTCACCAGACACCAGGACACACTCAAAATCAGATCGACTTTATCTCAATCTCAAGCAAATGGAGACGCAGTCTACTTGACACAAGGTCAAGAAGAGGAGCAGATGTAGGTTCAGACCACTCACTGTCTAGTGCAAGGAACCTTCCAAATCAAGTTAAAAGCCTTCAAGGAAGCCGGTGATAGACCACAGTTCAAGTACAACACTCGGAAACTGAACTGAAGGAAGAAACTACAAAGGAAATCTTCAAGGCAGCCATCAAGACAAAATGGGAGATATCGTGGAACATCCCTGAAGAAACCTGTGTAGAAGAACACTGGAAGTCTTTGAAAGCTATGTGGAAAGAAACCTGCACAACCGTATTAGGAAGGAAGAAGAAAGAAGACAAGGAATGGATCTCGACAGATACCTGGAAGCTGATAGAGTGGGGAGAGGAGGATGGTGATGGTGAAGCAGAAGATAAACCAGTACAGGCAAGGATGCTCAACGACAAGAGGAACTGAGTACAATATATAAAACATTACACTGGACAAAGAAGTGAAGAAGAGTGCACGCAAAGACAAAAGACACTTCTACGAAACACTGGCAAGTGAAGCAGAACAGGCTGCAGGTAAGAGAGACGTGACAACATTGTATCAAATAACCAGGTTACTATCTGAGAGGGAAGAGATCAACACACATGAAACCAATAAGAGATGATGAAGGAAATTTAATTACTGAAGAAGAGAAACAAAGGAAACAATGGGCTGACCACTTCAAGAAGCTCTTGAATCGACCACCACCACCACCTGCACTTCGTCCAGAAATACCACCTGCCGCCCAGCCGCTGAACTACAAGTGAACATAAATCCTCCAACAGAAATGGAAGTCCTGAACGCCATAAAGCTACGGAAATGCAGGAAAGCAGCAGGACCAGATGGGATCCCACCAGAAGCACTGAAAACAGATGCAGAGACAACTGCAGCGGAAATGCTCACATCACACCATTATTGCAGAAGGTGTGGAGTGAAGAGAAGGTACCTGGCTAGTGATTGGAACAAGGGTTACCTTGTCAAACTCCCGAAGAAGGGAGGCCTCAGTGTTTGCAAGAACTGGCGCGGAATCACTCTCCTGTCCACCCAAACCAAGCAAAATATTAAGCCGCATCATCCTGGAGAGACTAAAGGATGCACTGGATTCAAAACTACGACCGGAACAGGCTGGCTGGATTCAGGAAGTACAAATCATGTGCAGACCAAATCGCCAAGCTACACTACGCATCATCATAGAACAGAGTATACAATGGCAGTCAACTCAACTCCACCTCAACTTTATCGACTTTGAGAAGGCCTTTGATAGCGTCGACCGAGAAGTAATTTGGAAGCTGCTTCAATACTACGGAATACCACAAAACTTTATCAACCTCATTCAACAGCAGCTATATGAAGACCCCATATACCAAGTAATTCACAATGGGAAGATCAGTGATGCTTTTGAAGTGAATACAGGTGATAGGAGTAAAACAAGGCTGTCTACTATCACCCATGATATTCCTGATTGTGGTCGACTGGACTGGATCATGCAACAAACAGTGGGGAGTGAGAAGAGGGGGATACGCTGGCTGGACTGCGGAAAAGAACCTAGAAGACCTGGACTTCACCGACAACTTGTGTCTGGTGACGCACAAACTTGAAGATCTACTGGCGAAAACTAACAAGTTGACAGAAGAGGCAAGGCAGAGAAGGAAGACGGGACTCCAAGTGAATATAGAGAAGACAGAGGTGATGAAGATACCCAACCAACGCCATCACCACCAACAACAAACTCCAATCACCATCAACGGGAGAAACTTAAAGGAAGTAACCTCCTTCACCTATCCAGGAAGCACTGTTTCAACTACAGGCAACAGCACAGACGGTGTCAAAGTCAGAATCGGAAAAACAGCAAGACAGGCGTTCAGCAACTTGAAACCAGTGTGGAGATCTGCTTTACTGCACTCAGCATGTGGAACAAGATCTGGATTTTTCAACACCAACGTCAAGTCAGTGCTTCTGTATGGCTCAGAGACTTGGCGCGTTACGAAAGGGATTTCCAATCAACTACAGACATTCATCAACAACTGCCTACGCTGGCTCGTTACTGAAGATCAGATGGCCAGAAAGAATGAGCAACAAGGAAATGTGGCTGGCTGGAAACAAACCAACCAAGAACATATCGCTGAACAAATATGCAGAAGGAAGTGGAGATGGATTGGGCATACATTGAGAAGGCCAACTGGGGACGTCACGCGTCAGGCCAGGCACTCGAGTGGAACCCCCATGGGAAGCGACGAGTTGGGCGTTCGAGGGTGACATGGAGCAGATCGTGCGAGGAGGAAATGAGAGCTTCTGGGCTGTCGTGGAGCCAGGTTCAAAAGATTTCAGAGAACAGAGTTGACTGGAGACGTGCTACTGAAGCCCTATGTTCCATTAGGAACCCAAGGGACAAATAATAATAATAACACATACACAGTCTATTATGCAAACTAAAGAAAAGAAAATCTCTTAACAATATCGAAATACAACTCAGTGATGGCGTAGTTTAGATTGGTATATACAAGAATTTCACCATTTCTCTACCAAGAATTATCTTTGGTAACTTCTTTTGGAAGACAAGAATTGTAGTGCTCTCCAAGTGCAAATGCATATCGATGATATCTGGAGGTGAAAAAGAGAAGTCAGGTATATATTCATATCAACAGTCAATTTAAACGAGCTTTAGTGATCGAGTCATTGTACAACTCAAAAAATGAATCAAATAATCTGGGTATACACTTCATGTGCATACTCATTTTGATCCTCAAAAGTTTTTCATGGAAATATTATAACTGCTAATAATTTTTCGCACAATCTATATGAAGGGTTTACTGATAGGCAGCGATAAAAGGCAGTCAATAGAGAAATTGTTTTCAGATCATGGATTTATGCATATACTGACATGATAACCTGATTGGACAAATTGGAAGTCATACAACCAATCGGATTGGTTTATTTATAGCTTCATTTTCTTAGGGGTTTTTATATATGAAGCTATAAATAAACCAATCCAATTGGTTGCATGACTTCCAATTTGTCCAATCACATTATCATGTCAGTATATGCATAAATCATGATCTGAAAACAATTTCTCTATTGGCTGCCTATATATGTTGTTGTCGTTGTTCTTGCAGTCACAGACCGTATTTTGTTTTCTGATTTTCGCGGCTCAGTGAACAGTCGTATTACTCGTATCCAGTTCAAGTATCTCTTTGCGTTATTATTAGAACCCATGTCATACCTCATATATCTGACTCAGTCACATCAGTTACAATTTGAACTGATGAACTACTGTTCAAAATTCCACAGTGAATGATTCGTCTGTCTGAATTATTCGTATAAAAGGTATGTTTCTCTTGAAGTCTGGGTATACCAAAATTATTGCAACGTACATTTTTGTATGGGTTATCTGTCATGGTTCCTAACGAATGACATGAAGTGAAATTCATTCAAATTTCATGCTTTTACATGTCGAAAATATTTTGGAAACTTTAAAATTATCTCCCATGCTATGCGGAATTTATTATCATAAAAAAAGTTTTTTATCACTAAACACCAAACTTTATACGTCTTGTATTTGGCCATTTAAAACTACGTGAGTCATAGTCCGACACTCAGTTGGTGCGAATAAAAAAAGATTAACAGTGGCTCAATGGTGACATGCTGGCCGCGGAACACGGAGGTCCCGGGTTCAATTCATAGCGGGGTCATGGGTGCGTAGTACTGAGAAGTCCCATATACTACAACAAAACAGCTGTCAAATGATCATCTAATTGATCTCAGTCCGCGATGAATACGAACCTGAAATCAAACAAACCTCCAAATAGATGATATCTTTGTCAGAAGATAGATCTGTTTTATCTGACTGCTGAATTTCCACGTGGATGAAACTACAGTTTTGTCAAATATGGTCGTTATTCAGTCCCAGATGACTCGACACATCCAATACTCGATAATAAGATGCAGTGAAGTAACTAGTCCCAGTATCAAATTATATCCATTGCAAAATGGAAGTAAATATCGTGACCCACTAACCAATTGGTCAACTAACCGGCATTTGAAGCGATCCAGGCCTGTCTCAACAGGGGTATCATTCAATGCTGGGAGGTAAGTATATCCAGCTAAAGATTACTAAAGAGGACGAAATGTATGTCCTAGATACCAGTGTTAGTCACTATTCATCCTTACTATCAGTTTATAAAATGTTTTACTTTTTTAACAGGGCAGTGTTTATTAGCGTAAGAATTACTGTCAATTTTACAAAACTGAAAACCCTTCAATTACGCTATCTAATTAAGAAGGCGCTACACTACTGAAATCCTCATAAAAAAGTATTCGTATTACTTTAGTTGATAGGATAAAAAACCTCCACAAAGGGAAGGTTTTAAAGTGCTAATATAGAGTAAGAATAATAATATTACTGGAGACAGTAATGCAATTGAATGGATCGTCTACCACTACACCACAGACTATAGGCCCAAACTAAAACACACAAACAACCGCCAACGGAAGAAGATCAAGTCATCAACCGAAGTTAGCAACAGGCCAACCAGACTCAAACCTCACCCGAAGGACAGAGCACAGATACATAGTCGTCAACTCCGACACACCGCAAACATCCACCACAGCCGGCTAGTAACACGCATAGCACAGTGAATAAAAATTCGTCTACTAGACTATGATTAATAGCAGCATTACAATATTTGGTTGCTTGGTAGATCGAACAGAGATTTAAATGTGACCGTAGAATTGAAGATCGAATGTTTCAACCGGTGAGCATGAAGTTCCGTTAAGAAGAAGCTTTAATATTGACCCCAACAGAAGTTGATCAGTTCGGTTCAGTATATCAACAAATAGTAATAACTAATATCCGTTGTACATGTGGTAAATATCGTCCTTCAGTCACCTAGTGAATAACGCTTTGGTGTTTGAAGCGATGGTTACTGAGTTCCAGTCTCAATGAGAACAACATCACTCACTGAGAGGCAGGTACATCCAGCTGACGTGTCCCGAATGGGACGAAACGTGCATTTTGGATTCCTCTGCTAGCCACAACCAACCAAATTACCATGATTAACACTCAGACAATATTGAGACATCGGCATAGGAGTCCATATGCCAATAGAGGTAGAACAATTCGATTCAATAAAATAAAATAACGGAGAACTAGAAGTATAACAATAAATATGTACATATTAGCTGTACTTTCCCTTGGTTTGATCTACGGTCTTTCAACCCCGATACACGTTACTACACTTTCATCGTGTCTTCTCCATTAATTAGTTGGGCTGAGAGTTAACTGGGAATTTGTTGAACGTTGGTAGCTGACACTCGATATCCGTGCTTCGTTAGTGGCCATAGCAAATAGCATCTTCCAAATCATAACAAAGACAATGGAATGATATCAGCAGTTACATTTCCTCGATAGCCGATGAATCAGTAAGATTTCATGTATTTTGTGTTCCGCCGTGGTACGGAAGCCTATGTGGATTCTTTAATCTAGAAGCCAGGTTTCCATAGATCTTTCACGAATTGGAATACATTAAGTTTGGCTGATATCATAGATATTCTTATGGAGGTTTCCCTCTCGTCACCTAATTACAAAGACGTTGACCGGACCACAGGTGAATTTCCCTTAGATCTAGAATATGCAGATGACATAGTCCTGTTAGGTGAAGACGCTGACAAGATGCAGAGTCTTCTGAACACTTTGAGTGGGAATTTGAGAATGTTTGGGATGCGATTTTCACCACCCAAATGCAAATTTTTGCTCCAGGACTGGTCTTCAGCGGTACCGCGGTTAACAATAGAGAGTGAAGTGGTTGAGTGTGTTGACCACTTCACTTACCTGGGAAGTAGGATCAACTCCGGTGGGTTAGTTGCCGATGAGATTTCTGCACGGATACAAAAGGCTCGATTGGCTTTTGCCAATTTGCGCCACCTATGGCGCCGCCGTGATATTCGTTTGTCTATTAAGGGTCGCGTGTACTGCACAGCAGTCCGCTCTGTTCTACTGTATGGCTGTGAAACATGGCCATTGAAAGTGGAAGACATGAGAAGGTTACAGGTATTTGACCACCGTTGCCTTCGTAGTATAGGCCGTATTCCGTGGTGTCACCATGTGAGTAATGCAGAAGTTAGGTGTAGAGTTTTAGGGAGAAGAGGTAAGTCAGTTGACGAGGTTGTGAACCTTCATCGACTGAGATGGTTGGGACACGTACTACGTATGCCTAGTCACCGATTGCCTCGTCACACAATGTTGGCTGAGGTGGGTTCAGGCTGGAAAAAGGCCCGAGGTGGCCAGACTAAAACATGGCACCAATGTATGAAGTCTCTGACTGTTGGTTTAAGCCATGTAGGACGATGCAGACTAGGTGGTTGGGGTCCACGGGACAAGAGGAACCAGTGGTTGGAGACCCTAGGTGATATGGCTCAGAACCGAAGTCAGTGGCGCAGATGTATACACACATTATCCTCATCTTAACAACGCTATACCGAATCTCACTATTTTGTCACTCCTCTTTCCTTTCTTCTCATACTTTATATTTCTTTTGACTGCATTCACTTATCTTCATCCTTCACCTCACTACCTTTTTACTTGATGTGCTGATATGAGGTGTGGCAACTCGGACCGTTACGCAGTAATGCCTGGTCCTATGTTGATAATGATGATGATGATGAAGTTTGGCTGATAGATGTATTGTCTAAAATTCTTAATGAAGGCTAGTCAAAGCTTGTTTTATACCAGGTGGACAAAAATCAAAGCGGTCGAAAATGTTATGACTACTACTTTCAGTAAACCGTACTGGAATACTCAGTGTAATGTCCCAAAAAGAGAAGTGAAAAGACAGTTACAAATAGCAGATCAGTACAGAATTTGATGACTTGATTAAATGTGATTGTCAGGTGGGACGCTGAGCATATTCTCAAATCCAGTGCTTTTAAACAATGATAATGGCAAAAGGAGTAGACTATGCTACTTGGAAATAGCTCTGCAGGTGAAAAGATCGCTTACTCAATAAATAAAATGGGTTCCATCAGAAACATTGAGAATTCTTTAACCGCTAAATGCATATTGGCTTTACTATCCACCTTTCAAGCAATGGGTTCCACGATGGAACTTTGACCTGAACAAGTGGTTATTAGTACATAGGCCCTAACACAACACGTGTGCCATATAGCCTAGTACATAAACGTGTACCAAGGTTGAGTTGATTGGCGTCACATGCACAAATCACTGATCCCTTCAAAAATTCCAGTACTAAATATCACAAAAAAACTTACATTATAGTGATCGGTGGTCCAGAAAACTCCTCTCCAATAACTAATGGAACACCTTCAGCTTGTAGTATTTCAATAGGGATCTGAAGTACTGTAGATAAGGCACGGATCTATGAAAATAAATGTGAAATCAAAGAGAGGGCGTTCGAAGATTAACCTTATGGAATATGCGGTCAATATATGACAATGACATTCACCTACTTACTAATGCAATGCAAATGAATTCCAAAATATACATTATTTCTTTACCGATAACTTAGTTTTGCAGGTATCCAGGAGCTCAGTCAGTCGGTTATTACAACCATGGGATATGATAATACTGCGTAACAGTACAAGTTTGCACATTTCACATCAATACACAAGGCAACCAGATGAGAGACAGAGAAAAATAGAAGGCGAATGTTATCAAAAGGTGTGCTAAGTCACATGAATAGAGGAAGAGGGTGTAAAAGAATAACGAAATGTGTGTGGTATGGTGTCTAAGATGAAAATAATTTTTGAGTGCATTTGTGGAACGAAGGTCGATTTTGTGTCATATCATATACAGTCTTCAATCACCCATTTCTGTTATAACCCAGACCTTATCCGGGAAGTCTACATGTCCCTAGACGCCTTATAGCAACAGTCAGAGAATTAAAGAACTGATGTCATAACCAGTATGAACGTCCTTACCTTTGTTTGAGCCTAAACCTGCCTGTTGTTACTTGTTATAACCTTGTGGTGACTGCTTGATATAACCTAAGTTATATACATACGTGGACGCTTGTACAATAACTTTTAAATTCCGTCCCTTGATGGTCGCTCATTTTTCTCGATAGATGGAAAGGGCGGCAGTATAAGGAAAGGTGTATTCCAACGTCAACAAATACATACAAAATGCAATGGCTTATATATGTTCTCACACTACCCTTGACTTTTACAGGTCTTTCTAGATTTAAATGTCTTATTGATTTCCATCCCCTTAGACAATCTGATATTTACACGATGGTTCACATGCTTTCTCTTGAAACTTCAGAGTGAGATAATTGGTTGTAAAAGGCTTCAGTGATATACTGCTTCTTATGAAAATCTTGTCAATCTTTCTCCACACTATAACAGATTATAAAACAAATCAATAACAGGGAAGTTCCGTTCACTATCTTCATGCAGCTGTAGTTTCATAAAAGTGAAACACTGGAAAATCTCCGATACTTATCATTAAATATGTGGATACAGAGGATTGATCTGAAGCAGTTGGAAAATCCAAATTCTAAACCAATAGAGCACATAACCTCTATGATCCACAAGAAATGAGTAGTGTAAGAACCAATTGAGCCACTGAAAACTATGTGAATGCAGCTACTTACATTCTTTAGATGTTTTGTAGATTGATGTTTAGACCAAAATCTCGGAAAATTGTCGATTAAGACGAACATCGATCTCGATTTAAATGTCCAAGCAGTATTTCGGTCCTTTCACAAATTATGGCATATTTTCCTTAGTTCCCAAACAAATAATTAATAAAAGAAGTGGAACTGTGAACATCCTTGATAAACACGAGTCGGCGTATACCACTCACCCAAAATCTCACTACATAGGCCCTAACATCCTTACGCGTGTTCGGATATAGAAACTTCAGTAAAGTGATTTACTTACCCGTTAACTCGTTCAATCAGATACGGTTATAAAATACTTATGTGGACAGAGTTGAACGCTTACCTCCGGTCAACAAATACATCTAGCGTTGGACGCTAACAAACTTGTTTCTACTCTAAAGTATGTTGGAGGGTAAGCAGTTGGTCAATGGTAACGCGCTGGCTGCGGAACCTGAAGGTCGCGGGTTCGATCCCTGCTGGTGTGGGGTCGTGGGTGCGCACTGCTGAGGAGTCCCATACTAGGACGAAACAGCTGTCCAGTGCTCCCAGGTTTCCTTTGTTCCTCCAACTGATGTCAGTCTACGATGAATAACAACTTAAAAGACATTGTGTTTGTCAATGTCACTGAGACAAGGATTTCCCATGCTTATTTCTTACTAAACTATTTAAACAAAATGAATGTGGTACAACGTCAATCTTTGCAATGTTATATTATTTATTGATTTGAAACATAAACTTGGCACAACATGAACACCAAGAGATGAACCATACAATAGAAATGGGTTATTCAAGAAGTTATGTAAAAGATGCATTCAAAGAAGCATTGACTACATTTGTTTTGCTTATCAATGACAGAGCTTTGATTCTCAACCATGTCTAATATCATCTCAAACCAATGAGTTGAAAGCTCTCTTGGACTCCATCCAGGCATCAACAAATGCTAACTCAACATCCTACATCTCATATACTGACAACCTCTAAACTTCTTACAGCTTGCTGTAACTGTAACTTGAGCTGGCGTAAATACTGACCAGTAACGTCTAGATTAATCACACTTCATGACTTGATATAAGGCTCACTCAGCAGCCTTGTGTACATTCCTGCGGTAGACAATGAATCACACCTATTGCATACGGGCTACACCTGGCTGACCCATCAACGATTGAGAATCAAGTGCCTAGTCGTCCGGTGAGCCATACATCCACTTGACTTGATATGAATGCCTTACTATAAAAGATATTCCAAAATTCAAGACATTAACTATTAAAAGACTAAACTACTACTTCAATAACTGTGAATATATAACACAACAGTATCCACATTCAAAATTTCGAAACAAGGTTAATTAGTCAACTAAACAAACACTTTCAGTCTGTTTATTAGAAATGTCACATAGTGAAACAGTATCACTTACTGGATAACGTCTCGGACACAATTTATTGTCTATATTCATATCAGGTAACTAACTCCACAACCTTGAGACAGAGTTTATATAGTCTTCGTTTTCTCTTCTTCTCTGCGATGATAGGGGTAGTAGAATTATCTATATATCTGTGATAGGTGCAGAATCATTCCTATTCTTGCAAGTATTTAATGTTGATTCGATAAACAAAGATTCGGTTATCACTCTCTCCCACCCTACTGTGTGATTGTATGTAACTGCGTGCAGAACTATAGCCGTTTCAGTGTTAGAGCATACTGTGCTCTTACCTCATCTGCAATTGTCTTATCTATTGAACTTAGCGCTATTTTGTATTTTGGGAATGACATCTTCTGGTTTCCAACTCATTAACCGCCACATTGAAGTTCATACCTTTCTCTAGCACTTTCACCTCTGTTGAGCTTAGGACTCTAGTTGAGAGATTGACAACCCACTTTGACTTATCGATCATTGGTGATATGCTATTGTTAATTTCATTACTGTTGACTGCATGCTTTTCTTCCATAAATTTCTTAATCTAAGTATTTTGGAATTTCTTGAGTGCAGCCGATCTTGCTTTATTGAAATTGTCCATGAGAAGCTCATAATCTTTTTCACTAACTGTTTGTATCAGCTTACATTTAAGATCTTCAATATAATTCCTGATGTTGTGTAAGTTTTTGACTATTCTATGAATTTCTTCTTTAAGACAGAGTTTACTGACATGTTCTATAGCTGCTTTGGAATTGGTGCACGTAGACGTAATTATTTAGGAATGATTTGATTTGTGAGACATCGAACATTGAGTATACAGCGGTTTGTGTATCTGCATTCTGTCTGTGAAAGTCGTGTGAGTTTGTTGATTAGTCTTCGAACAGAAAGACTATATGTTTCATTAATATAGACGTAAACTCTGGGCAGTGTAGTCGATTGTAATTCCATTTTAGTCTGTTTGTTAGAAATGTCAAACAGTGAAACAGTATCATTTACTCGATAACGTTTCAGACGCAATTTATTGTCCATATTCGTATCAGGTAACTGCACAACTACTAATAATGGTGACAAGGTTGGGAAAGAATTCAAAGCTTCTGCTGCGTTACAATACAAGAAAGGCACCTCAAAAGCATTACGAAGAATTTTCAATAAGGCTGGGATTAAAGTGACATTTAAACCAACAAACTCGCTTAGAAACAAGCTTTGTAGGTTAAAAGATCCTATCGATCCAATTAAGCAGAATAATCTGGTTTACTAGATCCCTTGCAATAATTGCAAGGTCAAATACATAGGTCAAAGTAGTCGACCAGGGGCGATTAGAATAACAGAACACAAAAACTTAGCTAAATCAAGATTAGTAGATCCTAATAAGAGATAAGAAATTTAGAGAAAAGCTCGGCTATAGCTCAGCATGCAATTACACACAAATACACAGTAGAGTGGGATAGAGCGACGGCATTCAAAACTAACTTAGTCGAATGGAGGGAGACAGTGATAACCGAATCTCTGTTTATCGAATCAACATTGAATACTTGCAAGAATAGAAATGATTCTGCATCTATCACAGATATATAGAAAATTCTATTACCCCTATCATTGCAGAGAAGAAGAGAAAACTAGGACTATATAAACTCTGTCTCAAGGTTGTGGAGTTAGTTACCTGATACGAATATAGACAATAAATTGTGTCCGAGACGTTATCATTTCTTTACTGTGTGTGACATTTCTAATTCACAGACTAAAATGGAATAACAATCTACCACAGTGCCCAAGTTTTACTCCTATGTTAAAACAAACGCTTATGTGTAAAAGTGTGATTAAGGCAATCTAACTATCAGCTAACTTTTAAATCACCTTCACCAACAGATTTAAGGCTACACTTTTATCTGTTCTAGTATTACTAGACTATGACACGACACTTATCGACTTTGTCCAACGGTAGACCTTAATCAAAAGTGTTTCTAAAACCTTGCATTCAAAGGTTGCTGAGATTACTTAACATCTATAATAATTCTAAATCTTTTAAAATTCAAAGTGCTATGGACGACTCAATTCAGATAAATTGGTTACTGAATGATCCGGGCAGACAATAATGTGAGTCAAAACCTAAGAGGTAGTAGAATTCAACTCAAAGTATCCCGAAGGAAAAAATGTACGATAGGGCGCTTTCGATTAATTAAATCCAAATACGTAGCACAGTACATAAATAATGATAGCGATGATATGAGCAATCAAGCAAAGATTTAATATAGACAATATAAATAGGTAATATAACAGCTTACTTCAATTTGTCCTCCCCAGGTTGATGTCTTTTCTACATTATCACAATACTGCTCAAAATCCGCTACAGGAAAGTAAGAAGAAAGAAAGAAGTGCATCACATAAAATGAAATGGATCATTTGATATTGAGTAATGACTAGTAGTAGAATCTAAAACATGAGTCTCGTCTTACCTTGGGACTCGTCAATTTAATGTATCTACCTCTCAGTGAGTGATATTGTTCCCATATGAAATGGAACATTGGCTGAAAAATTGACAACTTTCAATGATCCTCTTTATATTCGAAATTAAACATTAACATTTTTGAAAAATAAGAACACCAAACTTTGTGGGAAGGTTACAAACTCATTCCGTGTGCTCGAAATCTTCCAGATATACACTAAATTAAAAACTCTACTTGGAGGTTTGTGGAGGCTTATTAATTGATTTTAGGTTGGAATTCATCATCGACTGACATCAGTTGAAGGAACATTGAGAACCTGGTACCACTGAACAGCTGTTTCGTTTTAGTATGGGATTCCTCAGAAGTCTGAATCTATGACCTCATCTCTCCAGGGATCGAACCCAGGACCTTCAGGTCCCGTGGCCAGCACGTTACCATTGAGCCACTGGTTGGGAATCTAGTGGTCTATATTTCCTAATTTTGTCAGTTCACGATATAGTACGACCTCCATGCAATGCTGTCACTGAGTAGTCGTCCTCATGTTCGACTTGGTTGGGCCCACCGGGCGGGGTCATAGGTGCGCACTTCTGAGGAATCCCATACTAGGATGAAACAGCTGTCTAGTGCCCCCCCCCCAGGTTTCCAATATCCCTCCAACTGATGTTAGTCTCTGATGAATTCAAACCTAAAATTTAAAATTGTTTACACCAAGCTATCAGCTGTTTGATACACTTCAATAGTAAAATCAACACCAAATACATCTCTTACATACATACATATACATACAGGAACAGAGATGAATGACAAATTTCATGATCTAATCAACCAATTCAGAGAACAAGTAGAATTCGCTTCTTCTAGGATGACAACAGATTATAAAACCGATCAGAAACACATTCAGTTCTTTTTTGATTACTTTTCTCGAACATTATCTGGTCGCCCTTAAAAACAGGTCTTGACTAGACTTCTTTTAAAAGCAATGGACAAAAATTATTAAATCGCAAATAAGTGATTTAAAATGGATAGGAATATATTTGAAAAACTTTGTTGGATAATGGATTTCTCATGAAGTTTATCAATAAATACTGTAAATCTAAAAACTAGGAATTGAATGATACCCACCCGTGCCGAAAAAGAATGTGTTCATTAGACTACCATACAAAGGCGATGGAATTGGGTTCACAAAATAATCGACGAATAAATACATGCATTGCACTAATTTCTTCAGCTGCAAAATGAATACCACAAAGAACACGTTCAAAAAATCGAATTCATATGTGAGACCTCATCTTACCTCCAATTGTATCTATTTATTCACCTGTACGTGGGGTAGCATGTATGTTAGAAGAATGGAGAGTCCTTTACTAAAAGAATCACTGAACAAGTACCGAAAATTCTGTTGTTGAGAAGCGCAAGGCTAACTAATAGTAGCATTGGTATACACATTCTGGATACACGTTATACTGTCAGGCTAAACATAGCCTTTCAGTTAATCAGTGCACAAAATAACAGTAGATTGCTGCGGTACTCAGAAGCAAAAGCAGCAATCCATCAACTTTGTATTGCTTTGGTGAATTTTTCTTTTCTTACGGATTTACTTACCACTTTATTCGTTTATCTTGTTGTCTCATACATTATTCTCAAACGTTATTCATATTCCCATCATTTTCACTACATTTTAAGATAGTATTCATCACAGACTGAAATTGGCTAGAAGGTCACTGAAAATATAGGAGCACTGGACAGTTGTTTCGTCCTAGTGTGGGACTCCTCAGTAGTACACACTTACGACTCCCCCGCAGGAATTAAACTCAAAAGCTTCAGGTTTAGTGATGAACACGTTAACCATTCACAGCCACTGGGTTGGAGTTCAATGGTCCACAGTTTCCTACTTGTCAATTCGCAATAGAGTGTGACTATCCTGCTCAAGAGACTTTAATCGACGTCTGCTTCATTTCCGGTTTCCACTGTTCTATCATTAAGTCATATACCTTTCATACCACCTAAGTTGTTCTCCTCCGTTTTATCAAATTTCCTACCACCTTGAGTTGTAATCATATTCTTGCACCACTATTACGTCGTATTACAAGTTTATATATGGTGTTGATTTTACTATTGAAATGTATCAATTGATCTATACTAACAATGACAGTTTTAAATTTAATGCATATGTGGAGGATTTCAAGCACATGAAATGAATTCGATTCACCCTACAATGTTTTTCTTCGCTTTGCAAAAATGTACGAAGAGAACTATTTGTATAAAATTATCATCTTTAGTTTCCATCGGTAGCAGATCCTACAATCAATCCACTAGAAACAAACAGTTCTTGAAATGGAATTGATCTACTACTCATTGGTGGCTAGCTTCGAAGAGTTTCAATGAAAAGTGGTAACCGGTGAGAACAGTTACTCAGTGACAGCATTGCATGGAGGTCGTACTATATCGTGAACTGACAAAATTAGGAAATATAGACCACTAGATTTCCAACCAGTGGCTCAATGGTAACGTGTTGGCCACGGGACCTGAAGGTCCTGGGTTCGACCCCTGGAGAGATGAGGTCATAGATTCAGACTTCTGAGGAGTCCCATACTAGAAAAAAACAGCTGCCCGCTGCTCTCGGATTTTCAGTGTTACTCCAACTGATGTCAGTCGATGATGAATTCCAACCTGGACTCTGGAAATATTTCAAAACCTAATGAGGAAAAATCAAAGACTCCATCACCGAAAACAAGTGAAATCGTTATGTTGACCACGGGTCACTTTCATGCAAGATTTTATCATATGATTCTGTTTTCTTTTCCTAAGTTCAACAGCTTTAATGTCCACACTTCTGTGAAAGTTCATTAGAGATAACCATAAAAGTACAAACGAGTGTGTAAGAGAAAAAGTTATCGTATTATAGGCACTGTAGTAGTTTCAATTCCATTTGAATTTCTTTATTAGATATATCATACAGTGAAACAGTATTTTATTTGCTGAATAAAATTTCAGATATAATTTATTGTCCTTCTTTGTATCAGGTAACTTCACAACTAGGAGACATGGTTAGTGTAGCTCTAATTCATTTTGCTCCTTTGTGTTGAATAATTGAATCTTCCACATATGCATTAAATAATACCGTTTCTTTGAGTGATATATCTGGGGAAATCACCATCAAGATCAACAAACATCTAGGCATTACTGCGTAACGGTCCAAGTTGCCACAGCTCATATCAGCACATCACGTAAAAAGCCAATAAAATAGAAGATGAAGAAAGAAAGAAAATCGCTCGAGAAAAAGTAGCAAGTACCAAAAGAGAGGAAGGAGAAAATGATGAGATTAAGTACAGCAGTTAATATGGAGATAATGTGTATATGGATCTGCACCACTGACATCGGTTCTGAGTCATATCACCTAGAGTCTTCAACCACTGGTTTCTCTTGTCCTGCAGACTCCAACCGGCTAGTCTGAATCGCCCTACATGGCTCAAACGAACAGTCAAGGACTTCATGCACTGTCATGTTTTAGTCTGGCTGCTCCAAGCCTCTTTCCTGTCTGAACCTACTTCGCCCAACATTATGTAACGAGGCAGACAGTGGCTAAGCATACGTAACATATGTCCCAACCATCTCAGTCAATGAAGGTTCACAACCGCATTAACTGTCATACCTTTCCTAACTAAAACTACATCTGACTTCTGCTTTACTCACGTGGTGACATCACGAAACATGACCTATGCTATGAAGGCAGCAGTGGTGAAACACCCGAAGCCTTCTCAAGTCTTCTACCTTTAATCCCCATGTTTCACAACCATACAGTAGAACAAAGAGGACTGCAGCACAGTACACTCAACTCTTAATAGGCAGTCGGATATTGCACTGGAGCCACAGTTGGCAAAAGCCAACCGAGTCTTTCGTTCCCGTGTAGGGATTTCGTCGGCCATGGACCCACTCACCTTCACAGGTAAGTGAACTGTTCAACGGCTCAATTACTCTACTTTCTATTGTTAGCCAGGGTACCGTTGAAGACCAGTCCCGGAGCAACTGTTTGCATTTGCGTGGCGAGAAAGGCATCCCAAATACTCTCAAATTGACAGTCAAGGTTTCCAGAAGGATTTGCATCTTGCCAGCGTCTTCACCTAACAGGACTATGTCATCTGCCTATTCTAGGTCTACCGAAAATTCTACTGTGATTAGCTCAATCCCAGTGTAGTCAGATGATGCGAGGGAGACCTCCATAAAAACACCTATGATAAAATTGAATACAGAAAGTATAAAAATGAAAGAAAAATATACCATCACCAGTGTTGCACACTTAAAGTGTTGCGCTACAAAACGTGTTTGACCTTTAATTTGTGTCTACAACACCAATTGATGCAGTCGATTATTGCAATTCATCTATCAGGTACAGATTTGTGTACTAATGTTATGAGGCATAGTTATTGTGAGAACTTATCGCACTTTGCAGTTGCCCAGTAGAAGTAGAAGGTGAGGGATTTCAACTCAGGACTCTTTGTTTGAAAGTCATCCCTTAAGCTACAGCTCCACAAAGTACATACTCACTAAATAAATGGGGCATACATGATCTGTTATGTGAAACTATCTATGAAATGTTAATGAGTTATAAAACATTCCTACTAAATACGCCTATATGATGCCTCAAAATATTCAATATTTAAAAAAACTAATCGATAAAGGTGATAAGTAGCTGGCACCTTCCGAACCACAGAAGCTTGTTATGAATTGCCACTTGAATGTTATATAAGGTGGAATAGTGATGTTACTCACTTTACTAGCCTGGTCTCAAATGGTAGCCTCTTGTCTAAGCGATACAATGTGTTGGAAGTCTATTCAACAATCATATAGCTGCTACCTTGACGTGGTGGTCGGGCTTGCATATCACAATGACCCAACGAGC